TTTCTCTGAGGCAGTCGGTGCAATTTTCCAAAATGGCACCAATAACAGAAAAGTCTGCAAGCCATAGCTGGGAACCACACCCTACTTTGGGAACCACTGCCCTACAACATGAAGTTCCATCCCTAGTAGTCTTTCTGTATAGAATTTGCATTTTCTGCTTGTGGGTGGATTTTTTTTCCAGCTCCTCTGGTTTCCTGTCACACCTCAGATTAGGGATGAGGTTAATTGCCTGATGACGGTTAAGAGTTCTGAATCGGTACCAGAAATACTTTATTGATCTCCAGGAGACCCTGTTTGTGTTACAGAATAAATAAATATTTTATTGTTCAGGGTAAAATCTATTTATAGTCTTAAAAGTATAAAATCACTGCATTGCCAGTGGGGATCATGTTGAGTTTTGTGTCTCAGGTTTCCTTTAGAATCACAGTTCTGAAGCAGCGTCCGATTGACAAAAAAACAACACTATAATTCTGATTGTTTGAATTTAACAGTGTCACATGACCTGAATGGCAGAGATGATGTTGAGAGCAGGTGCCAACAACTCCAGAATCAAGTGAATGACATGGAGGTGAGTTGATGAAATACACTACATGTAGTAGCGTGTGATGACACTGCACTGACCTCTGCTTGTCCTTCCTGTGAAGCGCTTCCTGAATGACTATGGTTTGATCTGGGTGGGAGAAGAGAGGAGCAGTGACTCAGGGGAGTGTGAGCTCACACACAGCTCAGGTAACGGTCGGCTGCAGACCGTAACCCTGTCTTTTTTTCTTTGTTCAGACTTGTACCTACATAACTCTGCACCAGTGACTCATGATCTGTCTGGATGTCTGTGTAGAAGCCTCTAGGATCAGGGATTTCCATCTGGACTTTGACCTTGTGCTGCATAGGATCATGGATTTGAACATCCTGACAGGAGAGGGAGAGTCTTTTGTGCAGTCGACACCCACTGGGGCACAGCTGGTGAAGAAGAACCCGGTTCAACTGAGGCTCTACAGCAATGGCATTGTCATGTTCGACGGTCCCTTTCGCTCTTATCAGGAACACAGCACGCAGGTTAGCACACAAAAGCCCTGCAGGAAGAAATAATTACTAATTAGAAAAGTATTTGATGACTCTGTCTTGGGTGTGTGAGCAGCAGTTTATACAAGATGTGATGGACGGGTATTTTCCCTCCGAGCTCCAGAAACGATTTCCACACGGGGTTCCCTTTGAGGTCAGTCAATGTTTATTCTTTGTTTGTCTCTCAGTAACAGTGCAGATTTATAATATTGTGGTTTTTCTTCTAAAGGTTTTTGATAAGCGTGATGAGGAATTTATCTTCAAGCAACCGTGGGAAAGATTTCCTGGAGAAGGTCGGACTGTTTGTGGCAAGAAAGAAGAATCATCAAATGTTCGACGCTACCAGACCACAGGTCTGTCCTGGAAACAAAAGTCTGACACTGACTCCAGAAATCCTCAGTCTGTATTTTCACCTCTGTATTTCTTTTCTGGAAACACAGGCAACAAACTGACCATGGATCAGTTTCTGAACAGGATGCCCAAAGTGGTGATAAAGGCTGGGAAAGTGATTGGTGTCAGGAAGTCATTGAGAGAGATGCTGCAGGTGAAAAATGCAGAGGAGAATATATCTCCAAATATACCCCCACCACTGACAGGTGGTCCATACAGTGGCAGTTTGAGTCAACTTGGCACCATATAGGCCCCCACCCCTAAACTGTCCTCTCCTCCCCCTACCTTCCCCAGAACATATTATAAATGAAAAGTGAAACCGTTGTAACATTTATTTAGTAATCTGATTTTTCTCCAGGGTTCATCTGATGCCCAGTGTAGTGACTCAGTGATCCACATAGACACAGCTGCTCTGGAGGCAAGGAAGGAGAGGTATGAAGAATTCATCACCAACACAGGTGTAATATTTATATTTATAGCTGAGAGTGAGTCACAAATGGAAACCTGTTAAATAATCATCACTGGTTTTAAAGGAACCTGATTTCAGTCTATATGGTGCGTTCTATTCATCAGAGGAAAGGTGTACTTGAATTACGTCACGGGACGATGGCGGCGCCCTTGAAAATAAATGATTAATACACATTAAAGTTTAATGAAAGGCCATGTCATTTATACTTAGTTAGTAAAAAAAAGTTGACGAGTTCTGAAGACCAGTTAACTTAACGGATATACCTAAGAACTGCGAGCTACTTTTTAGCCGCGTTTCAGCCTTGCTAATAAGGGAGGCACAACATAGTTTATTTCGTTTGTTTAATTTGTGTACGCGAAAAGACAGGATTGCTATATCTCTTTTAAACAATTTAAATATTACCTTTTAGTGGCCGAGCCATGTTTTATTTATGTCCAGCTTCGTTCACCTCAATTGCTAGAACATTCCGAGTAGATTAACTCCGGAATCGCAGCTTTCTTGAACGCAGCATAGGAGGAAAGACACAAAGTAGTAATAGGTTAAAACATTTACATATGTAGAGAAAAACAACGCTTTTTAAAATTTCTCTTACACTTTTGAAAACCCCTCGTGTGTGAATTATGGAGAACTGTCAAGTCACGTCATGTTATTGTTCCTTCATAATTGTAATCGCGGCTTCCTGCGCTTTCAGGTTGCAGATATTCCCGTCTGACCGTACATCCTGTGACATCATCACCCTGAAAGTGAAGTCTGAAGATGGCAGTCAGACCTACATGCTAAAAATGTTCTTCTCTGAAACCATGGGCCACCTCAGGAAGTACCTGGACCATCACAGGTCAGAGCCCATCCACTATCTGTTCAGCTCATGTTCTAATAGACGTACATTTGACATTGATATTACTCTGACCACAGAGGCGATGACCATCCTGGTTATGACATCATCAGCACATTCCCAAGGTGCTGCTATGAAGACACGACAAGGACGCTACAATCCTACGGCCTGACCTCCAATGCTACACTGATGCTGAGGAAGACTCAACACTCTCATCCAGTACCTGCTGTTAAATAAACTGTAAAGGTGTTGTTTTTTATTACGTTTTTTGTTGCTCACAGTGAAGAGGAACCACATATCCGTTATGGTGCCTCCTGTGGCCGCCTCTGTAGGTTGCAAGGACTCAAGATTGTAAATTTGATGAATGAGGGACTCAATAATTAATTAATCAATATAAAATATAACCACAATAATTTTAAACCTACTTATGAATAATACATTATCATGAGTTACTGTAGGACTTCTTCTAAACATTTTCTCATTTATTGGAAAGGTTAATAAGTCATAAACAACTAAAAAGAAGCTCTAAACCCAGGAAACCCTCCTAACTTAGAGTTTCCCTGTGTAGACCAAATAAAAGGGAGAGTAATTAAAAACAATAGGAAAAGTTGAAAGTCTTTATTTCTAAAATATGCAATACAAACAAGGACAAAAAGTATGAAAATATAAACATCTTTTCCCTTTTCGCAAAACGCGCTGAGATGTTAAGTTAAGGCATGCGGAACCTGACTTTCCTATGATAAATCGATTGCTACTTGAGTTTAAAGGTCCCATGAAATGAAAAATGGCTTGTTCAGCCCCAGGTGGGTCACACCGTTGCATATTCATATCATATTTTGAATACCTAAATGTGTAAAGTATCCAGATTTGTAATGGCTTGGATTCATACGTACTCAGGACAAATATAAAATCTCACAAAAGACAAAGTGATCAGTTTTTGGGGGTTGATCCAGCCAACCCCTCGCTCACATCATGGACCAACCACAACGTAGAATAAGTATTTTTTCCTGTGCCTGGATACAGCTGCCTGACAACTGCAGCTCTGCCTTTCAAGTGTAAAACAATTGGAGTCTCTCAGACACTTCAGGGGACCTTTAAACACCGTTGTTGCCAGGTTTGCTCAAACATTAGCACATTATGAACGCAAAACATGAGGGAAACCAAAAACACTTTCACACCAAGTTGTCAATGCAAACAAAAACAATAAATAATACTCAAGGTTAATACTGGCATACACATGAACACACTGTTGAAGCCAATGTCACCTGAAATGTACAGTCTACATGAAGGTATTTCTTCTACGGAGAGCAGATTCTATAGAGACCACCCAGACTCGTGAGATAAGTTTCACTTCATTTATCTACCAAGGAAAAAAGAGAAAAAAAACTCAGTGACAAGGCCCACAGTTTTCTGCTACATTCAGAGTCAGGGAATGTATTATTGATCCTGGTGGTTCACACACTGAGACAGAAAGACAGAGAGGAGTCAGAATGGAAGAGTCTGCAGCAAACAGCCCTTCTCTGGTTGGTCTACACTGAATTAGCTTCGTGTTTGCAAAATGTGAGTGAAAGGCACATGTTGGTATTTAAAGAAAAAAAGTCCTGCAGCAGAGGAGTATTCACAGACATTCACAGACCTGCACAACTGCTCCGACTAGAGTTTTCTTTGGTAACAAAATTGTTTCAGGCCTGGTGGTGGTGGTGGTGTGAGAAGCCGAGTAGGATTTCTGAACCGTTGTTTAACTCGTTTCCTCTTTTCAAATCGCAGCTGGGTCCAATGTCACTGTTTTCACCATTTTAAATAATGGCATTTCAGCAACATGTCCTCTTGAATACAGTTTTTTAAAAAAAGCTCAGGTTAATAAAAAGTCAGTTGATTGTCAACTAGAAATTGCAAAATTCCCCTCAAGAGGGAAAACGTTTTTTTAAATAAATTACACATGTGGGACTTTTAACACAAATAATCATCCACTTGAGTGGAACATAAAAAGGTATAAGACTGTTTGGTATTAGATAGCATCATGTCATCATCATCATTAAAACACACGCACACACATAAATGTTTAAAGGATCAAGTATTAAAGGTAAGTTATTTTCTCTTAGCCCTTGGACAGAAATAGATGAACTCGTTGGGGGGAGGAGTGGGGAGTGTTCTGAGCTGAAGAGAGACGTGGGATTCTACGTTCAGTCAGTTGGGAGAAGCAGGAGTCAAACCATTGGGGCTTTGCTCTGTCCTCATTTTAAGAAAACTGAAATACAGTCCACATCCTGTCAGTCAGTAAGTAGCCATGAAAGACAGTCTTGTGTTTGATGCTACAGAAATGGGCGGAGGATTATTGGGTGATGCAGTTTTCGCCCATGTCCTGTGCGTAACGGTCCAGTATTACGTTGCGAAGTTCTTCAACGTCTCGGCGGAGCTGCTGAGCTTCCACCAGCTTCTTCTGCAGCACCTCCGGACTCATCCAGTCCTCTTCCTGTTCTGACATCACTGGAGGAGCTGGGAAAAAGAAATCAACCACATTAGAATTACACATTATTTTAAATTATATACATATATAAATAAAAGGACTAGAGTTTAAATAACGTTGGTCTTACAAGTGAGTCCAAGCAGCAGGGACAGGTTTGGGTCTTGTCCTTGAGCTCTCTGGGTCAGGATGCTGCACAGGGAGCGCAGGTCACTGAGGCAGGAGGCGATTTCTAGATGTAGCCTCTGTGTGAGACGAGCCCCAGCGGGCTGCAGGGCGGAGGAGGCCTGGTTGCTGCTCCTCCTCTCTGGGTCGCTCATCTGCTCCTGTAGAGTCAGATTCTGCTCCATCAGCTCCTGGTTCTGTGTGGAGAGCTGGAAAACAAGAGGCAACGACAATGTTAGCTGAGCAGCAACATCAAAGAATGAGTTTCTTCCTTTGTGCACAGCGCAGCAAAAAAAAAAATAACAAAACTAATTCATCAGTCTCTGTCACCTCCTTCATGGCTGTGTGAAGCTCCAACATGTTATGCTCTTTAGCCAACACCTCTTCTCTGAGAGCCTGTGAGCTGCTCTCTTCCTGAGAAATCTGCTCCTCCAAAGTCTGCAAACAAAATCAATCAGTTTATTGAAATGATCTGAGAGAAAAACTGAATTTTCAATCTGAATTTTGATTTCTACAAATGTATTTAATCGAGCTCATTTAAATAAAATAGCAGAGCTCAAAGAGCTGTTAAACATAATCAGTTGTGCCTCTAACAGCTAACAACCAAACAATAATGATGGGAAGTTTAGAGTGAAAAGACAAAGTATAAAAAAAAAAAAAATCACCTGTATTTGGGATCCCAGCTGTTCCATCATACGATGTTGTTTCTCGATTACCTGCAAAAAGAGAAGAGAAAGATAACATTTTTGCCACAAGGCTTTATTTACAAACATGTGATCAGCAAATGTTTCATGTGAGCAAAGAAATTATTTCCTGTGTTTTATGATTGAATTATATCTGTGCTTCTCTCCTGAGGCTCTGGGGTTTTGACACGTTTTGTCTTGTGTGCTCTGCTGCTTTAGCACAAACTAACGCAGACAGTGTCTACTATCAGGACTTTATTCCACCAGATCTAAAATTTATTTTTACTTTTTTGCCTTACAGCTTAAAAAAGCAGTTTAATATTTTATACACATTTTTTAAACTATAATATTAAGAGAATGAATACATTCCAACAGTCTTTAGAGCTGATTGAGAGCAGACCTTCTTCAGTCTCTGCTGTTCCTCTCTCAAAGTGTTGTTCTCAGCTCTGAGCTTCTCAAAATCCAGAGACGGCAGTCTGGCTCCGTCCTCCAGGCCCTGCTGCACACGCTGCTGCATACTGATGAGGACAAAAATAAAAAAAAAAACACACAAGTTATTATGCACAGTGACTATGTTTCTTTGTGCATGCTTGTCTGAAAGAGAACAAACACGGTCTTTGGGTAGATAGAAAACGATGACCAGACCGGAGGAGTGCACGTACTCAGTGATGGTGGTCAGGAGGTCCCTCTCCCTGCGTTTCTGCTCCTCCAGCTGTGCGTCTTTCTCCTTCAGTTGTGAGCGCGTGGCCTCCAGACAGCCTTCCAGTTCCTTTGCTTTCTCCTGAAGTTTGGCTGCCTCCAGCTCCGCCTCTTGGAGCTGATATTGCATATTGGCACATTTAATAGTTTGCACATATGGACCCAAATACAATTTCAGGGAGAGGAATGAAGCTGTGAAGCCATTCTGACCTGTTTGTTCTGACTCTGGTAGTCCTCCAGTGTGGGCAGGTCTGCTAGGTATCGCTCCAGAGTCTCGATGCGCTGCTGGTTTTCCCTCTTCTGCTCGGTTTCTTTCTGACACTTCTTCTTCAGGTTGTTGATGTGTTTGTCTCGGCTGCGGATCTGCAAAAACACGTACGTGTGATAAGCAGGATGTTATGCAATACGCCCACAAAGACGCAGACAATTTGTAGAAATAGTTGTGCGTGTTTGCCTCGAGTTTTTCTTCGAAGCCTGAGAAATGTGGAGAAATCTGATTAATGGCAGGGTAGCTGTGGATTAATAAAAAATAATCCTAAATATGAAACAAATATGACCAATTTATTATGGTTCAACTTCAATTTATAATAAATGATAATAAAATGTTGAAGATTTCTTAATAAATGTTTTTAATGAATTTCTTACTGCAAAACCTGAAAGACTCACTTCACCTTTAACCTTCATCTTTTTTTTTCAACTGATTAGCCTGCAAAATGTTACTGTTGTGCAAAGTAGGCGTAAGTAAAGCGCTAACCCTCTCTTCCTGTTTCTTCATTTCCTCTGCGTGTCTCTCACAGGCCTCTTTCAGACTGTCGGTGAGTCGTCTCGTTTCTGCTTCAACGGCTCCCAGTCTGCGCTCGGCTTCTGCTTTCTCCAGTGATGCACAATCAGTGCGCTCAGCAAACTGTGCTCTCAGGAAGGCGTTCTCTCTCTGGGCCTCCTGCAAAGCAGACGCCTGATATTAGTGTTTCACTTGGTAAAAAACACAGCACACAGTTGTTAGTGTTTTTCACTAACCTGCAGCCTGAGCATGCACATGTCTCCATAAGAAGACCCTCGGCCCAGGAGGGCTCCGTGAACCTGCAGCTCACTTTCCCTCAGTCGCTGCTCCAACTGGGCCATGTGTTGCTGTTGTCTGCATCAGAATCAGACCCAAATTATCAGAAGCAGAAACTTTAGTCCTCAAAACTGTATGTTACTAAATTTGTCAGTTTTGAAAATAATTATAAAGGAATAAAAGTTTCAGAGCTATGTAATGAATACAAACACTTGCCTCTCAATGATGAGTTCCTTTTCCTTTAACAGACTCTCGCTGGCTTTCACCAGGGCGTCCCACTTGCCAGCCTCAGAGTGAACAGGGTTTGAGAACATGGCTGGGTACTGACTCACTCCACCACCCAATAACTGTAACAAAGGTGGAAAAAAAACATGGCACTGTGAGTTGCATCATGTTCAGAAAATATGCAAAGGTAATGAGATACAAGAATGTTTACATGTGTGAATTTCAGCTCCGTAATAAATAAACCGGACATGGCTGCTCTGCTATCACCGTCTCCTAGTACGGTATAAATAGTGAAGGCCATAAAGACAATACAAAAACATAACACTGAAGCACCAAACAGAAATGTAACTGTGTTGTGTCTTTGTCAGACTGACACCTGATCAAAACGCTTCCACAGCACAGCCGTCCGCAGGAGAAACCGTTATCAATTTCAAACTGCTGTCCGAACGAGGGAAAAGGTTTTGAGTATCCAGCAGTGTCACTTTCTCTCTTCAGATTAGAATGTAATTCCACCTCAGTGACTATTTTAGGTATTGATTTTTCCAACACAGAGAGTGCAGCCCAATGTCATGATGATTATTTTGGTGTTGTGATGAATACACACACACACAGAGCATTAAAACCTCATTACAACAACATCTGTAGTTGTACAGAGCAGTCAAACACATTTTGTTTCTCTCCCTGTATTAACATCATGTGTTTAGCGCATCTATAAATTTAAGGTGACACTTACAGAATGTGCCCTGAGTGGTCATTTTTGTTCTTCATGTTTCACATTTGTTTGACAGTAAATTCCTGTTTTAAGAAGCTACATTTAAGTTTAAAAACTGACTAGAATATTTTTCCCTTTTTTTTGGTTTGCATTCATTTACACTATCAAAACCAAGGAAATGTTATAAAGAATTGGATACAACTCCAAGTTTTGTCTTGCAGCACTTTTTTCCCCACTAGCCACTCCTGATAATGTAACGTTGACATAAATGGAATGGATGAAAAAGAATGGAAATATTCTTACGGTAGAGCAGAATACTGTTGACAGGAAATCTGAGATGCCCAGGCAGATTTAAAAAAAATATTTTTTAAAGTTCAGAACTCATCTGTTTTTTTTTGTGTTAAGACAATTTGCTGCTGGTCGTTTAATACAGTTTTCTGTGGATTAGTTGTATGTTTCTGCGGACATATCTGTACTTGTTGGTCGCTTAACTTGAAAATCATATCTTACCTGCATTTGTTCCACTTGCAGGCGTAAACTCTCCAGTTGCTGTTTTTGCTGCTGCTGTTGTTGCCAGCTGGACAGATCGCTACATCTATCCTGTCGCAGAGGCTCGTAAGCCTTGGAGCTGACGTGCTCCCTCAGCAGAGCCTGTGTCTGCAGATTCAGGGGGGTTGAGTACACTCCAGAAGTCAGACTGCCCCTCTGATTGGAGGCTTCTGATGAGCCCGCGACACCAGGCCTAACTTCGGGCAAAACTTTATAGCTGTGCTCCATGCCACCTCTGTAGGCCTCAGACACACAGTCTGGGCCCTCTCTAATCCCACTCATCTGCAATCGGAGTCTGACATCAGGGCATAACCCCCCCAACAGAGAGGACTGATTTAGAGTGGGTTCTACTGCCGGAGTGTCAAACCTTTGGCCGTCATCCAAGCGTGTGTTGTCTGTGGGGAAAAGTGAATGGTCCAGCCCATTGACAAGGCTGCGGTAGCGGCTCAGGCAGTCTGGCTTTGGCCCAATGGGGTCGCTTCCAACACCTGGCTGAGCATCCAAGTTGGGTGACGAGGCTGATTTGGAAAGAGAGGAAGACTTGGAGGTGGAGCCGCTCGGGGTCCGGGAACCAGAAGAAGATCTGTGGCCCTCAAGTGAGGACAGACAGTCCTCCTGGACACATGACTGGGGCTTAGAGGCCGGGGATCCGGCCGTGGATGGCATGACATGTGCAGTAGGAATTGGGATCTGACTCCGGATGGGTTGGAAGGAGGGACTGCTGTTGGAACTGCAGAAATCTATCGAACGTAAAAGCACATAGCACAAGACATAATGGAATCAGCAACGTTGTCTCACTAGTCACCACACAGATATATCTCGTTACATTTACGCAGAATGTGAGGAACACAACTGCAGGCAATTTTATCTATTTTAAGTGCCTGATTTAAAGTAGACCCAGTCAGGTTTACGGGTGGCCTACTTTGATGATGAGATGTCGCCAATTAGAGAATTAACTGGTTCTGACTGGCTCAACTCAGGAACAGGCTAAAAAAAGACTTGAGACCAATACTCAGAGTGAAAGCATTTACTCCTACATTTATTTTTAGGGTTCATTAAGGTGTCGTTATCTGCCATACTAACAAGTGCAACGTTGTAATTCTGTTAGAACAGACATTGGCACATTTGCAGAAAATCACAGGTCACCCATCACATCATTATACAGAGCACACACCCTTTTTTCATGTTATTAGACATGTTCAAAAACCTCAAATGCCCTCCTTTACAAATTTTCGGTGGTTACATTAGGCTCTCAAATGCCTACAGATCACTACAAACAACCAACAGATGTCTCTACAAGCCTCCACAAGCCTCCTCAAAACCACAGTAAGTTCCAGAATAAAACATGTTTTACAAACCTGAGAGTCACGCTGATTTCTGGAAACCTGGCACTCACTTGCAAAAGACATGTCATTAGCAGGAGCATTTTTTTCTAACCGTGAACCCAGGTGAGCTGAGCCGCAGAACTCCTTAAATCAGAACAAGGATTCCTCTCCTGCATTTCTGGGTGTGACTGCGCAAAAGACTTTAGGAGTCAACAGTTAATAAAAACCACGGAAAGACCGGGACCCGGGCCCAGATCTGTATTGTCCTGAACAGCCAGAGCAGCCTGTACCAACCTCTGACCAAACACATGAAAACAGGCACACACAGGAAAGGTTAGGAGTATTTATAGCCCACCTCTCAAGTTACCGAGTGATCTGTGGGTGCCGCTTATTTAAGCACCTTGCCTCCTCCCACTGAAACACATCACACGTGTACGTCCAAAGTCAACGACTGAACGGGAAATGCGGTTCACAGAAAGAGCAGCTAAATCTAACAGGAAACCTGCTGCTTATACAGAGAAAAACAACGTCAATTAAATCCCACAACAAGCTTCCAGAAATGTCAAATTTTAAATTTATTAATCCCTGCAGGCTTCTCTCATACACAACTGGCAAGAACAAGTCCTAACTTCTCTGTATAACAAATTTGCTCAGACATACCAGCCCCTTAACAACTGCTTTAAAAGTCATTTGGATTTCTTTTTAGTTGAAAATTCTTAAACATCCTGTTATTGTAAGGCTGTTCAATGTACACACAGAGTTTACTATGGAGTATGTTCTACACTAGGTCATTACTGTGGCTAAATTTAGGGGTTAATTATCATGTTGCTAAGCACTAAGTATTGCTGTCAGCTTAAGTGTCTGGACAAAGACTTACCAGCAGCAGTGGTATAATCAACAACTGAAGCCAGTAAGACGTATGTACATTCATTTCTACAGAGATACAAGCACCATTAAATAACAAGATAACAAGATAAAAAATACAGGAATCTGACACAATGGAGGAAAAGTAAGAGTTATTTGGAAGTGCAGTGTCTCATATCAAGCATGGCTGCTGCTTGTTTAAATGCTCCCACCGTGTTAGGAATGTTGTCCAGCAAAGCCCAAGCAGCATGATGACATTGTTGAAGGATAATGCAAGGAACTCTAGATAAAATGTTTTCACTCAGAAGACATACAAATACTGTCCCTTTAGGACAGTGGCCCCTGGAATGTGGTATGTTAGGGTTGGTTTTTTTTAGCAAAACCACCACAAGTAAACTAGAAGTGCAGTAAAAAGGACCTGTCAGTAGTTGTTAAGGAACGTTTATGAATTCTAGCCCAAATATAAATGAGAGCTTTGTGAAGAGAAAACTTTACAGCCTTAGTTTTCTCCCAACAGTTTTTTTCAGTCTGTTATTTTACAGTGTTTTTCTACAGGGGACCACCTTTCCCTGTGGGTCAGCCAGTCCATGGAAACATACTGAACGGGGTGTTTGTTATTTTTTCACTTGCCATATTTTCATACAGACCCAATACATGCACACCCACTCAGTGGGATATTCTCAGTTAAAGCAATAATAATATTGTTGTTATATGTGACATTCAGTATCGCATAACACACAACAGTCCGGTTTCCAATTAGCTTTCTGGTACACCAACATCAGCAGGGTTGCAGCTGAGCTCTGAGGAATTTTTTGGATAAGCCTTTAATCTACTGCTGTAAATTCTAATTATGGATTGTGCATCACACAACTTTTAATGGCCCTAAAAAAAGCCAAATAAACAACAACATTAATAAAAGGATTTCTTGTCACTCTTAACACAAGCAGATGTTGAAGTTTAAAGCTAATGTTTACTTTTGACCAATTTTACTCAAGCACCCCATTACTGCAGCACCTCCCAAAGGCTGTATGGGACACCACAGCTGAACCCTTTCAAATGTTATGCAACACATGCTACAGGAGATGAACTGAGATCCTCACCTTCTGTGCTGTCAGATGCTGAGGTGCCAAGACCAGTGTCCCCACTTTCCGATGTTCCAGGCCGACGGCCAAATCGACTTTGGAACTTCTCTGACACAGCTGGTGTTTGCCACTCCATGTCAGCCAACCAAGCTAATGTGTGTTTGTGAAGGAGGACATTAGCAACGGTTGAGATGTTAACAGAACAGGACGCAACTAGGAAAATTAAGGAATGTCACAACACGCAGCGAAACTTACCTGCTGGTTTGGAGTCCATAAATCTCTGTGAGGTTGTCATTCCATATGAGAAAAGGTTGACTGATGAAGATAAGATAAAAAAATATATTTTAGGAATGGTCTCAAATAAAACATACAAATCTTTTGGGTTTTTTTTTCAAAGTAATTGTTAAATAATGTGAACAAAGTCTGAATGAAATGTCATTTCTGACAGTTTAAGTTTTTAGAAATGACTGAAACTTTCTCTTTCCAATACTCTGTACACCAGAGAACATAACCTAAGGATATATGGCAGAACATAAATGTGGAAATAACCAAGAAGATTTTTCCATAGAATGTATCACTACAATGGCAGTGTTGTGCTGTTAACCTACATAAGAGACACATTTCATTATGTAGGTTAAGTACAATTGTAGTAGTAGGTTACATTTCAATAGAAGGATTTGCAGCAAAGTCCAAATTAACACAATGCCAAAAAAACACTTAAACAACATATTAACCATGACCAACATAAAGAAACTGGAAACATGGTCACCCTGAAGTTGAACTCCCTGCTATTGTTCATACTGTCCGTGATGTGTTGCTCAGAAATAACAACGCCTAGCATTAGCCTCAACCCCCCCACAAGAGTACTGTGTTTGACCTCCACTGAGACACATGGGCAAGGTGGTAACAACACATTATTTCAGAAGAGAAAGCACACAAAAATACCATTTAAAAATAAATAAGACATAACCGACTTCACAAACATTGTCTTTGAATTGACTAGTTTGAATATTAACATAGCTTTAACATCTATTGTACATCGCATGTATTATGAAAACCCCAATTTAAATCATGTAGCTTTGAATGATAACTACTGCTCCACTCCTGCACAGCAAATACATTTTATAAACTGAGAGATCGCCTCTAAATACAACAGCTGCTACCTAATGACACATATACGTACATATTAAAGTTATCTCCCTGTCAACGAGCCAGATAAATATGGCAGACTTTTCTGGGTACCAACAAAAATAACTACATGAGCACATCTCCTTCCGTTACATAATCTGAACAGTACACAAACATGTTGTCCCTGTGGGGCTACAAGGAACTGTTCAGAATTTGTGACCATCAAATAAGAAGGGTAACAGATGGCCAAGCCGGGCTGCGATAAATGAATCCCGTTCATCAGCTAATTCGTTATGGAAATGAACTGCTGAGACTGAACTAGCCATAGATAGCTAAGTCAGCTAAACTTGACTTAATCGCTATATTTAAATGTACTTAAACAACCCTATACAAACTACATGCAATGATCACAGGTATTATGGCTTTCGTGTGATAGTATAAGATCTTATCTTTAGGTGATACACTATCACCCTGCGACAACGCACCAAACCGTTAACCAGTGAGCTAATCCAGGACAAATCCGTTTCCGTCTTAAAGAAAGCTAAATTCAGCTAACAGCTAGCCAACGTTTGACGGCTCATCTACCCAAACAGAATTTGCCTTACAAACGTCCGAAACAGTTCGTATTCACACTACAGGTGAAAAATACAATAAAATATTAATTAAATGTACTTTACCCTTTTTCAAAAACCCACGAAGTAAAGTTAACAAATCTCGGTTTCCAGGCTAGTAACAGTGGCCAATCTGCACCATCCGCTGGTACTGCTGTTGTTCCGCTAACCAACTGCTACTCTGCGCTGGCATACTACCCCAGCCGAGAAAGAGTAGCTGCTTGTTTCATACACCAGCGCCGCCTGCTCAGCTTGACACTGGTTAAGGATACAACATATGATCTCTTTTATACGACTGCAAAGTATGTCAGTGTACTCAAAACGGTCAAGAGCGCAGACTATGGACATAAGACAAAACGTTATTGATTCCGTTTAAGTTTGAACAACTATTACACAAAAACAACCCCCTTTGTTATGTGGCAGAATATTTAAATGTCAAAAAATCCAACGTACCCTAAGAGGCGTTCAGGTAACAGCTGTACCAACAGTACAAATGGGCTTTTCACAAAGAGTTCAAAGGCTTTGCAACAATTTAAATGTTATTTGAGTTTTATCTTGGAAAACGTGTTTTAAACTAAATTCTTTTGCCAGCGTTTGTATCACTCATGAAATCCATTTGAGCAAAGTATTACAGTAAATAAGTTATATATATATATATATATTTATATATATATATATACACACACACACACAATAGTTTTATATAAAATGCAATTATAATTTTATTTTTTGGTTGATTAGAGTTTTTAAAACAAATTTAATGTCCAATTTCATGTAAAGAACAATTTTATACAGCATACATAGTAGGGTGTCCACTTTCTCCATCAATTTGGTCTGGTATAGATTGACCAAACAAAGTACTGTTTTCTGATATGTCATGGAGAACAAGCTCTGTTCCGATAAAAAAAACATTTTTTATATATAACTGTGTGTTAAAAATACTGGTATAACTCAAAAGAATTTGTAATTAACAGTCGATTACGCTTTTAATTGTTCAAATGTTTTTATTGGTCATAGTTTAATCACGTTTTCCCTTTACGCTTTTATTGTGAAAGCGACAAGTAGCGGAAGTGTGTGTTGTGTTTAAGCAGGCGGACAAAGTTGCGTGATGAGGAGGAGGGTTGTGTTATGTCAGGGAACGTACCAGCGAGATTCCTGTCAACAAACTCAAACAGAGTAGGAATAATAATGTTGTTTAAATGGACATGCCTTGACTGGAGACCCATTAGTTGAATAGAAGCGGTGAGGTTTCTTAGATCTCCGTGTAATTTAATTATTATGTTGTAAATATGAGGACGTTTTTGTTTAGCTAGCAGAGATAACGCAGATAAGCTAACGACTAGTAAACGACAGGTCTCGTTAAGGCCCCGTTCACAGGTGGCTTAAGATTCTCACAGGCTGACATCTATCTCAATGTGTGAATAACTGTTAGTGTAACAGCAGACAATCAGACTAGTATATTGACAGGGCTGTGTAGCTAACGTTAACTACTTCGCAGCTTTGTGGCTCACTGACAATAAGTGAAAGTATCATATTTGGCTTTAGACTGAGACCTGTCTGTTGACTACCTAAGTAATAATGTGTATCATATGATGTCATTGTTATCCACCAGGGTAAAATAAATAATCTATCGCTTAAACAGCGTAGAATATAATCCATATAGTCAAGCCCCTCTCATTCACGCTACCATTGTATTAATTTTTACATGTCATTACAGAAAAATAAATCACCGTAAATGTCATCTGATCTCCGACCCCTGGAACCTCGACCCCAGTCCCTAATTTTCTTTCAGTGGTGAAGCCATGACCTCGGTTAACATAACCAGAGACATCCTCCACAGGCAGATCATTGTGAGTCATTGAAGCTAAATGTGACAAAAAGCTTGATGTAGATGCCCCAGGTAGGCTACATCCAATGATGTTTTTTCTGGATCTTTAGGATAAGAAAGCATCTCGTTTCCAAAGAGTCTATCATGTGACTGAGCCCTTCATCAAGAGACTAGGCCTGGAGACTGAGCTACAGGTAAGTGTCCACAGGTTTGTGTGGTACATGTACCAGGGGAGAAGGAGAGCAATATAAACTTTACTCTGTCATTTCCACAGGGTCACACTGGCTGTGTGAACTGTTTGGAGTGGAATGAACGTGGAGAGTAAGTCTTCATCGCCTTGAAATGTTTAGTTTAATTAGGATGCCAGGCTGATCTGCTATAAATATATTTCCTCAGAGAACTGAACACATGTGCTGCAGGTCCATACACTAGCAGATCCTTCTTATTGTGACCAGATTACTTAAAATCACATTGATCCTATATGGCCATTTACCTGTGCCTGTATAAATGTAATATGGCTTTTGACCGATTACACCCTGTTCTCATCTGATGCACTAATTGCAATTAACTATTGTTTTTTTATTAATTGAATTAATTTTGTTAGTGGACATATTTTGTTCAAGTTTTTTATTAAGCTTTAATGGGTTTTTTTTTCATCCACCAAAAATAAAATTCAGGCTATTTTTGAAATTGAACAACAAACTGCACAGCATTTCACAATTTAGAGACATATGAAACTGGTGCTTTTGTAAAGTAGAAAACATGGGGGTGATGATAAACCCTCGATTTATTGAGCTGACCTCGGCGTACACACCTGCTGGGACTGATTTGTTAAGAACAAAGACATTGATTTAAGTAAGAAGACCTAATATAATTCGCATGTGTTCCTATCACTCAGAATGGATTTTAAACCAGACCTGAACTGAGCCAATGTCATCAAAACCATGATCCATCAGTGATTGTGCATGAATTTGATTTGAATAAAATAGACTGTGCTTTACACTGACTGTACAGACTGACTTTCCCTTTTGTTTTTTTGTGTCCAGTCTACTGGCCTCAGGCTCAGATGATCAACATGCAATTATTTGGGATCCGTTCAGACACAAGAAGCTCACAACTATGCATACGGGTCATGCCGCAAACATTTTCTCTGTTAAGGTAAAAAAAAATGAAATTGCTATGAAGAAACTTTATGTAAAATTATTTTAAACTCTGTTTAAACTATGTGTGAACGCTTGTTACATTATAATCGTCTGCACATTAGGGGGCACTGTTCACAAGCCAGTGAGTGGCTTGGTCAGCACAAACCTGTCTATGTACATTTCTTACTTCTTTTTTTCATGCTTCTAAAAACACAGTAAGTGTTTCTGTGTGACAGAAATGGCCACAAGGGCATTCCACAGGTGCTTTAGGACAGAGCGCTGTGGAATGAGGTGGAACACTGCAGAGAGCACGTAGTAACATGATATGTACAGTCAGTCTTATGTAAAGCCATTAACATAGAACTTTTAAACTACAGATTTTATCAAATGTCTCTATTCACTCGGAAAAACATGTTGTCTGTTCTCACCAGTTGATTCTAAACTTTTCATCCCTGCAGTTTCTTCCTCACTCTGGAGACCGAATCTTGATCACAGGAGCTGCAGACACTAAGGTGCACGTACACGACCTGTCAGTGAAGGAAACCCTCCACATGTTTTCAGATCACACCAACAGAGTGAAACGCATCGCCACGGCACCCATGTGGCCCAACACTTTCTGGAGTGCTGCGGAGGATGGCATCATCAGGTGGGAAAACAACCTTTGCAAAATATGCTTGTCAAATATTCTGTTTGACAAGTCAGAAAATTTCTTATGCATCTCCCTGTGGTCCCTACAGACAGTATGACCTGCGGGACAACAGCAAACACTCTGATGTGCTGATTGACCTGACGGAGTTCTGTGGTCAGCTGGTGGAGGCCAAGTGTTTGGCCGTTAACCCTCGGGACAACAACTACCTGGCAGTGGGAGCCAACGGTCCCTTTGTTCGCCTGTATGACATCAGGATGATTCACAACTACAGGTTGAGTTGTGTTAAAAATAGAACATTAAAATACATGCGGCTCCTGGTACGTTTTTTTTTTTAACCCTTGTTATTTTTGTGTTGTTTGTTCTTTTTTACGTATGCAGGAAATCTGTGAGCCAAAGCACATCAGCAGCTGTGCACACATTCTGTGAAAAGCAGAAGCCCATCCCAGATGGAGCCGGGCAGTATTATGTTGCAGGTGCATGTACTGCTGAATTATCTGGTGTCAAAGATATTAAGTACTAAGACTAGGGTTCCTAACATTTGGGCAAGGTCTCAGGGAGTGCACAGGTTACAGACTAGTGGCAGTGGAGAATGTGCTTGATTATTATCAGGATTTCTTTGAATTTTCCAGGTCACTTACCAGTTAAACTCCCAGACTACAATAACCGCCTACGGGTCCTGGTGGCCACCTACGTGACCTTCAGTCCAGATGGCACAGAACTGCTTGTTAACATGGGCGGAGAGCAGGTAATGCTCCACAGGGCAAACACAAGTCAGTAATGGGGCTTGTCTGCTCATGTTCTCTGCTGTAATGCTGTTTTTATTGTTTATTCATGTCCTGCCTGTAGGTGTATTTGTTTGACCTGACATTTAAGCAGAGGCCATACACATTCTTGCTTCCAAAAAAGTGCCAGACATCAGGTAAATAAAAAAAAAAACGCCCCCCCATTAAAGCGTGACAAAGTCCAACATCAGTAGATTTATTTGTGTTTTCTTCATCATTTGAACCACCAGGGGACCTGCAGAACGGAAGGACAACCAACGGTGTTTCCAATGGACTTCACCTGCCCAACAGCCATATTCATTTTGCAGGGAGCGGGCTTCAGTCAAGGTAGATGTGGTTGCTCATTTTCATTTCAGAATTTCTCTACCATAGTTTCTTACTATCTTGAACATATGGTTCTCAAGGAGACATATTGATTTTTTTCCCCTTCCCATATATTATTGTATGATCTTGTTAGGCTGAGCTGTGGACAAGCAGTGAAAGACATGATATTATACCTGTAGAATGACGAAAATCTTCTGAAGAATTGAAATATATATTTGATCAGGTTAAACCTGATATTCAGGTTACATTCAAAAGTCACTAAATAAATACACTAAAATACACTAAATACTGTAAACCCAGGAATCTATTTAATTTCAATCTTTTACTCAATATTCTGATTGTTTTTGTCATCTTTGGTGTAGTTCCACTGAACTTCCTCCTCACCTGGAGAAAATAAAGCAACAAGCTAATGATGCATTTGCACAGCAGCAGTGGACTCAGGCCATCCAGCTCTACAGTTTAGGCATTCATCAGGCCGGCTGCAATTCAATGTTGTATGGGAACCGGGCCGCTGCCTACATGAAACGCAAGTGGTACGTAACCTGTCGTAATGCTGAAAGACGATGTGTGACATATTTACTGCAGTCCGTTGACAAGTGCTCCGTTTGGGATTCACAGGGATGGAGATCATTACGATGCCCTCAGGGACTGTCTGAAGGCTCTGACCCTTAACCCCAGTCATCTTAAGGCTCACTTTCGACTGGCACGGTGTCTCTTTGAGCTCAAGTACATCACCGAGGCGCTGGAGTGTTTGGATGATTTCAGGGGAAAGTTTCCTGAGCAGGCGAACAGTAGTGCATGTGACGCTTTGGATAAAGATATCAAAGCTGCGCTCTTCACCAAGACGGAGTCAGGTACCAGGAAAATAAATATGAAACCTCTAGGACAGTCAAACTCAAAACATAAAACAAGATTTATCACATCATTTTTAATTTAGCTGCAGGGACTGTATTTCTTTATTGATGTTTGTATGTATGTATGTATTTGCCTTTGTAGGAGGTGAGGATAAAAAGTCCAACAGCTCCATTCGTTTCCACTCGTTCAGTCGAAAAGAGTCCATCCCTGAAGATGAGCTGGTGCTGAGAGAGCGCAGCTTCGACTACAAGCACCGATACTGCGGCCACTGCAACACCACCACCGACATCAAGGAGGCCAACTTCTTTGGAAGGTCAGTCAGAGCCCGCTGTCATTCCACATATGGCTCGCTAGGGGGCAGTCATGTATCCTGTAACCAAACCAAACTCGCTTTCATTCATGTTTAAAATTACTCTACGTTTTATTATTAATTTTTATAATAACTATTATATATAATAATAACTTTTATTTTTTATCATTCATTATAATTATTATGATTTGAATAACAATTTCTCTTTGAAGGCATTGTATTAAAGGTGAGTTATAGTTGAAATAATAACTCAGTACTTTACTATTACTACAATAAAAATCAGTAGTACTCTGAAGCAACGCCCACTTTATATGAAGCATCAATTGCTCAACATTTTGCTGGTCAGCCAAGTCTGAATACTTACTTTTTTTTGACCACAGCAAAGGTCAGTACATCGTCAGTGGCTCAGACGACGGCTCTTTCTTCATCTGGGAAAAAGAGACGACTAACCTGGTGAGGATCCTGCAGGGAGATGAATCCATAGTCAACTGCCTCCAGCCCCACCCCAGCTACTGCTTCCTGGCTACTAGTGGTATCGACCCTGTAGTACGGCTATGGAGCCCTAGACCAGAGGTAAACCACTGGAAAAACTGTAAATAATATGTTGAATTACTTAGGGTATGAGGATATTATATTTGTATCTAAATTTCTACATTATGACACAGCAAATTTGACTCTGTTTGAAACCCTGTCAACTGAAAAGAAAACACCAACTGTGATTTTGCTGTAGTTCATTTTCTCTATTCTCTGCCACCTGCCTTCAGACTGAGTGTGACAACGCACGTGTAGTGGAGGACATGGATGGCGCTGCTCAGGCGAACCAGCGACGCATGAATGCAGATCCATTGGAGGTTATGCTGCTCAACATGGGCTATCGCATCACAGGCCTGCGAGGCGTGGGCCCTGAAGGCTCCGACGATGAAGACAGCTCAGAGGGACAGGTCCAGTGCCGGCCAAGCTAAGCAAACAGCTGTTTTGTAGAGTGGCCGTAGAAAAGCTCAGCTCTCTTGCAGCTCCTGTTTGCGTCTTTATTTCCCCTCTATCTGACAGAAACATAGAGTGAATGTCATGTCACATCTCTGCACTATGCATCGCACTCCCCTGTCCTCCCATCAGGACCGGAGGAGACCACTTTGGGGAGAGAAATTCACAGAGGGTGAAGACAAACCCCTACTGCACCTTCAAAGCACCAACAACACCTCAGCCTCTCCCTCCTCTCTGCGGGGGCTGGGGGCAAATATCTTTGAGGAGAGCACCTTTCACATCACTCCCAGTTTCTCTGACAGCAGGAGGAGTTCAGCACTTACAACCTCCTCAGGTTCATGGTGAAGCAACACACCATCAGTAGGAGGAGAAGCCTTCATTCAGGCTGCCTGTTTAGGTTCAGGTCAGTGGGGCCGCACATTGGCAGTATCCTCCATGGAGGGGTGGCATCACACACCGGGAGACTTGTGCTTTGTTGGTGAGGATCCCGTCTGCTCGTCCTGTTCGGAGCTTGAAGCACCAGTGCACGCTCATCTCAGAACGGCGGCACAGCATTGTCAAAGTCTGACTTAGATTGGATCACATTTTCTGTTGTTTGGCTTACAGAAAGCCCGGAGTGAAGTAGAAACTGCAGGCTGTCTTAGGTGGCTGCGGTGAATTTATTTTTCAAGCTTCGTTGAGTTCATAACCGTCAGACAAATCTTCTGCCAAAGGTAGTCTCTCATTTCAGCAGCCAAGGATTAATGTTAGTTCTTTTCTCTGTTTCAATGAAACATTGCTGTACTGCTGTACTCCTTTTAGTTCTGAGGTTTTACTACATGGTTGACAAGAGCAAGGTAATATAAAATAAAAAGAAATAACTATTTGTGCAAAAATAACCTTCTTATACAGTCGTTTGTTTTAAATTATGCCCCATTAATTATTGATGTGCAAAACTTGGAAATTAAGAGGGATACATGTTCATTCTGTGATACTGGGGTACAGCATTAATGACTGCACCCACTCCACTAATTACCATTTACATTCATGAAATATATTTGGGTTTAAATGTTATTTATTATTTAAGCAACTCATCAAATATTTGTCAGTTTTGACCAAGAAAATGTGATATTTTTGGTTAAAAATTTTATGAAAGAAGATGAAATCAAGTTGTTCAACAGGTGTAATTTATTTTTAAAAATTTGGATACCGAAATCCCTTGTGTGAAACACCAGGATCAGAGGTCAGTCAGTGGTCTCTAGGCCTTTGATCTACAGTGACACTAAATGTGACTAAATGAAGACCAAAGAAATCTGAGAGTTGAGAGACATTCCTAAAATGTCGACCAAACAAAGATGCTCCTGATGAAACTTGTTTTTTGCAGTGAAGTAGAAAATACAGGATAGACATTATTTTGGTAATTATTACTTTGTTCTTTGACAGGGCAATGTAATGGTTAACAAGTTCACCTGGAGAGAGAAAAAAAAACACTGAATCCTTAATTTACAGCTGTTCACCATTAAAAGTCTTAAACCGTCACTCAGAATAATATGTAATCCCATAAATTGACACTAGGGGTGTGGTCATATGCAGCGTCCTGTACATGTTACCTGGGTGCCAAGCAGCTCCAGCTCTTGTCCACTGCTTCAGACAGGAGTGAGGTCCTGCTTAAAACTTAGAGCAGAGGCTTCACGTCTGCAGTTTAACAAACTACTTATTTATCCTTAACCCCTCAAATGTGCGCAACACTAGATTTTCATGTCTGTACGCGGACAATGAATTTGAAGTATTTTCTTGGAGAAGACCTGTGATAACTTTTGTTGCAAAATAAAAGTATCCTGTGATAACTTTTGTTGCAAAATAAACAATGAAAAAAGTGAAAGGCTTAGTCTGTGTTGTTGTGCTTTTGCCTTTTTTTTTTTTTTTCAAAGTAGCTGTTACACAACTGCCCCAGTAGCGTTGATGCAGTGCTAACTGTGTACAGCCAGTGATACTGTTGTGAACTTTCTGCTTTCCTGCTCATTCGTCAGTGTCTGCTTTACGCGGCCTTTTGCTGACTACTAGGCAACAAATGTGAGCACAGTAAATCATAAGCAAAGGTTGTAAGGGGAGCATCCTGTGGCCCATATAGTGTGCACTAATGAGGTGACCCAGCTCCAGGAGTGGTGCAGGTTACACTGATGAGGCTCACTGCTAACTGTGAAGTAACATATGTGTGAGTTTGCAAAAAAATAAAAAAAGTAAAGCAAAAACAGGTATTTACATCTACTCGGGTGGAAACGTTTTGGGGTTTCTTTCATATCCTTAAGGGGCTCCGTAAATTTCAGAAATAGCTCATATGCCATATACCAAACAGAAAGGTAAAATTGGGAGGACAGGAAAGCAATGTTCACAACTATGGTTCTGTGACGACCATCTCTAACATGAACTGATGATATTTGGAATTTAGAGACATAAAATGAATGAAACCATAACCCTGAAGAATATTGTGGCAGAACACATCACTGGTCACTTAATATGATGTTCAACAATGTCACTATGGTAAAGGACATTTTATTTTACTTCACTGCAACTTTAATTATTTTAATATTTTGGCTTCTATATAATAGGAATAGTAATAATACGAACATCCTAAATAAGGTGGTTTGTTTGTAATACCGCATGTTTAAGTTTTCCATGGGACATTTGGAAAATACTGTACTTTAAAGAATGAACTGCCTTTTGTCCTCGTTTCTCAGACCCTCGCCGACTGTCCCACAGCGCAAAACACATTGACACGAAGGATTATAAAGAGTTACAAATAAAGTATTTTAAAATACAAATAAAATCATCGTTATAGCAGTCTCTTTGTGTGACTTGGACACCGCGGTGCTCATTAACCTGACCAAACAACGCTATTTAAACGCTGCCTCGCAAGCACTTGAGTGATGCGTTCAATGACCGACCTTTTCAATAGAAAGTCTTGTGTTCATCCTCTCCCCAGCCACCGGGCGGCGCCTGTGCGTCACAAAGTGTCACTCAGCTCCTGTCTGTCAGGCAGCAGTGATGGCGGACGTGGATGATGTCGACGTGATGATGAACTACCACGGAGATTTCTTAAAAGGCGATAGAAAAAACGCCCGCTATCCGTTCTGCATTGTCTGGACGCCGATCCCCTTTCTGTCGTAAGAAGCTTCTCTTTAAGATAAGCTAATGCTAACATGGCGGCTTTTTAGCGTCGCTATGTTGTGTGGGTTGTTGTGCAAACGTCACATGAAGTAAAGCTGATTTGTGTTAGCCGCTAGTTACCACTGATGCCGGTGTCTGTCCTGTATGTACAACAAAACACTCCACACCAAGACCTGCGTGTACCGTCATCTGCACTGTGTGTGTTTGTATTCTAACGAGTCCATGTTGTGTCCTCTGCTGCTGCATCCTGCAGGTGGCTGCTCCCATTCATTGGACACATGGGTATCTGCACCTCCGCTGGAGTCATCCGGGATTTTGCAGGATCTTACTTTGTCTCTGTGAGTAGCTTAGATGATGGTTTATCTATATTGGCATATTCAAAGCTATAACTATGTACTGTATATTTTTTAAATTAATTTCTGACTTTATTTGCTAGAAAACTACTATTTTAGTAAACAAAGTAAGCAAAATTACAAATTAGAGCATTTTCTCCACTGTGGCACAAATAAAGAAAACACTGAAAATCATTTGCCGTGCTGCCCCCCTCCAGCCCCTGCCCCCTACTTTAATAACCTTACACCAATTGGTGTAAGGTGATAACATATTAACTGTATCAAACCAACATCGATGTGTTCCAGCGCAAACAAAACACAACACAGCTCAAAGATGAACAACTATTACAAACTAAAACCCTTCAAAACAGTTGGCGAAATTTGAGAACTTGCTTTTTTCAGTTGATCTGAATTGTAGTAAAGTTTATTATTTGCATGTTTTTATATGTGACTGTTTTTTCAGGAGGACAACATGGGCTTTGGGAGACCAACAAAGTGAGTCCAGCAGCAAAACATTTTATTTTTCTTAGTGTTGTTTTAAAGTTATATCTAAACTGCTTTGGTAAACATTTAGTTGTTTATGTGCTCAAGTTTCTTTGTTGAATATTTATGACTAACACATATCTGTTTGTGGTTAACTTTGAATTTAAACTTTACACTTTTGCTGTATTGAGGTTTAGCCCCCGTGTGACTAATCTCAAGCAATTTATCTCATCTAATATTTTGGATTTTTTTTTACAACACCACACTTTATAGACACAAATAGGAATATTCTTTTCGTCCTTAATGTAAAATCAACACAATACAAACAGGCTGGATATGTGTCCGTGTCACTGTAACTGTTTGTTTGCAGGTACTGGAAACTCGATGTGGACAAAGTCTGTGGTAACGGCGCTGCGACGTGGGACAAAGCCGTACTTGATGCATCTGAAGAATACAAGTGTAGGCCGGTATGGTAATGTTTTTAAGTTCATTTTACATAAAACATATTGACACACTGTGGGTTTTTTTAAATGACACTTCCCTCCTTCTTTGAAGCACAACCTTTGCTTCGATAACTGCCATTCCCATGTTGCCATGGCCCTCAACTTGATGCGTTATGACAACAGCACATCCTGGAACATGGTGAACCTGTGTGTGTTGTCGCTCGTTAACGGGAAACATGTAAGGCAAGTATCCCAGCCTCTGACACCATATATTCCAATAGAACAATGGCCTTGTTCACAGGTATGGAGGAAGTGTGTGTGTATAATATATACTGTGTGTGTGTGTGTATATATACAGTATGTATACTGTATATATAATATATATATACATATATTTATATACATTCACACATGTATGTATGTATGTATATATATATATACATATATATATATGTATATATATATATATATATACATACATTGATTAAGAGCGTGTCCTCACCACTCTGGTTGTGATGCTTTGTCTGGTCAATATCATCAGTCTGTGTCATGACTCTCTGTGTAATTTATCAGACAGTTGTCTGTCCTAGGAGATTCTTAAATCTATGTCATGTCGTCTGACCTTGGTATAAATATCTGACACTGTCTTGGGGAAGAGAAACTTTGGAATCACATTAAAATAAATGTTTCATCTGGGACAGCTCAAAATGGTACACTGTGTACCAGGATGATCACAGAACCTCTTCCCACACCGTTGGTCATTCCTAAAAAAACAAAACAAAACAAAAAAACCCTCTGACCTGACACTTGGGTATTTTCTCCTGCCCGGGGCAGTCTTATTACCACATCTATTTTATTAAACTCCCCACATCTGCGTCACTATTGTGAACACACTCTTTAAATGGCTGTTTTGTGCCGGATGCTGGGGAGCATCCAGAGACATATGGCTCAGAGAGCCCCTCTCATTATTCTCTGCTGACCCACATAGAGTGCGCTGGCGTCACAGTTTGTGCTGCCTCTGCACATACACTCCCACGAGCGCAGGAGTCGTTTTAACAGAAGAAGAGTCGTGTAATTCATCACTGACAGCTGCACTCCTCTGCGTGTCACCGCTGGAGGTCACCTTTCTGCCGGGGCTCCCTGCACCGGCTGAGTGGAAAGGACAGTAGGACGCAGGCTGCTGAGGGTGGGGGGTGTGGGACCCTGTGGGATTTGAGAGACCACAGGATAGCGTACATGTCCTTTTGTGTCTAAATATACAGGCGAAGGTGCTTGACTCTCACTGCATGGAACATGTATGTGTTAAAAATGATTCTAACACTTCTTCTCCACCTTCTGTCCTTCAGCTGGGCAGCTTTTCTCAAGACCTGGCTCCCGTTCCTCATGCTGTGTGGAGTCGTCGCAACCTTCGTCCTGACGTTCAACCTCCAGTAATGGAGCCGGCAGTATCCGTAGTCTGTCGTGCTTTGACAACATTGATATTGGAAACACATAGTACAAACAAAAATCAAAAGTGTGGTTGAAAAGCAGTATTCAGACGGGTTACATGAAGGCAACAGAGTTGTTTTTAAACAAAAAAAGTTTCTTTTTTTTCTCTTATGTTTAGTCAAAAAACCCACGCTGCTATTTTAATTGTATTATTTTTATTATTGTAAAAATATTTGTCATTAATACTGTCATGTCCTGGCTGTGTGTTTTGTCATGGATGACACTGATGGATAGAGTTCCAGATTGGTACACTACAGTGATGAATGGGCATAACAGTGACTGTGAAGCATTAGGGCTGAAATGTATTCATCAGTGTTTTGTCTAAGAGATATGAGACACCAAAGATAGAATGATTTAAGAGCCAAATGTGAAATTTACAGATTGTGTCACAATCCACTCTCTTCCAGTTTGAAATCAAATCTATGGAGCTTTTATTTTCTTTGATAATATTATGTGTGTTATTATCACTTTTACCTCTATGGATTCTGTTCAACCATGTTATAATTTATTATAAATGTTATTTATTAGTCTTGTAAGTGTAAAGTTTTTCATTATTTGAGTATGTGTTGTTCTCTTTTTATTTTTATTCTCCACTGTGGACTTTCCTGAGCCTATTTTAATGTCTCCGCTGCAGACTTGTAGGTCACAGGCTGCGCGCGCCCTATTCGTCCTCTGTACCTTTAAGGGAACCACGTACCTTTTTTATCCTGTAGATACTGTGTGATGTAAAAGTCCCATCAATTCATGGGAACCTTTTATTCCCAGAGTGGAGCAGAGGAGGAAGGACTGGTGCTGGAGCAGGCAGGGTTTTCCACCTCTGTGTAACTGACTAGGTCGTGAGAACAAAAGCCTACCTTTAAATTTAAACTTCAGAGTTTTTTTGAGGGGGGTTTACAAGGCGGTAGCTATCTGCTTTGTTGCGAATCATACTTTTGTCCTTCAACCTTTTAGATTTAACTGTCAGTTATTCTAAAGATGAGTATTTTTGCTCTCGGCATGTTTCTGGGACTCCTTTTTTCACCCTATCAGTGCTTGGAGTGTCCTCCAGGATGTGAGTGTTTTGCCGTCACTCACACGGTAAAATGTGTTTCGCAGGATCTGCTTAGGGTGCCTCAACGTATTCCAGGATTCACAAGGACCGTCATCGTCACAGGGAATAACATACACCGGGTTTCTCCAAATTCATTCACAGACACGGGGAATGTCACCAACGTTATTTTGAGCAATAATAGGTGAGAGTCTCCAGTGTGTTCTTTTTGTTTGTCAATGAATGTATCACACGAATGTGAGGTCAATTTTGAGTCGGGATTAGTTTTGTTGAAGAATAACTTATTAATAAACTGTGTCCTAAGTCTCTGTTTGTGTCTTTGAATGTATTTTCATTCACAACTCAAACAAGAGGCACATGTGGGTGAAAGTAAATGTTGCAGTTGTGGTCATCTTCACAGGATTGTTGAAATGGAATCCCACAGTTTCTCTGCCCTCACCAACCTGCGTTTCCTGGACCTGAGTGGAAACCAGTTCGCACTCATCCATCCTGAGGCTCTCAGCATCCCTGGTAGTCCGCTTCAGGAGCTCAACCTGAGCTGCTCCCTCTACAACTTCACCGCTGTGACAGACCTTACCACAGCTCTGCGCTGGGGTGGCCTGAGAGGGCTTCTCCGCCTGGACCTGTCCGGGAACCACTTAGCTCTGCTTCCCCCAGGGATGTTCTCCCACCTTCCGAATCTCAAGCAGCTCTTCCTCACAAACAACTCCCTGGTAGCAATTTACAGTGGGACCTTCTCTGGCATAAACCATCTGGAGATGCTAGACCTGACAAAGAATGCCTTCAGAACATTTGGTGCCGATTCTCTTCTTGAGCTGGAGAAGCTGGGCCAAATCCGCATCCTTCTCGGTAACAACCCTTATTCTTGTTCTTGTGAAATCCGTAGTTTTGTTACCTGGCTGAACGAGTCCAGGGCTCAGCTGGACTTGGATGGAGTAAGATGTGCCTTACCCAGAGCTTTATCTAATGCTCAGCTCAGGGGACTCAGTATCCAGGCTATCGGATGTGTTGTTCAAGTCCAAGCAGAAGTGACTGACCTCAGTCTGCCGACGTCCTATGTCTTCTTAGGGTTGGTGCTGGGCTTTGTGGGGATGGTCTTTCTTCTAGTGCTTTACCTGAATCGCAAAGGAATGAAGAAGTGGATCATTGAAATGAGAGATGCCTGTCGAGATGTTCTAGAAGGATATCACTACAGATATGAGATCGACTGTGACCCCCGACTGGGTCACATCCCGTCAGACAACAGTGGCAGCAGGACACAGGGGCATCTAAGGTTAGCCCTGTCACAGCAGCTGCCAAATGACACCTGTATTGTACAGGCTCCCACTGACACAAAGCTGAAATGAGCCTGAAAATGAGGCTCATTGGTCACGACGTGATTTAATATCTGAATAGATTAGACGTGTCAATTTGAACATTTGTTTTACCCGAATTATTTTTCCTTTAAAATGCAGTTGTAGACTAACTTCCGAATATTTTACCTAAAGTGCCTTTATGTTTTCTGGCGCTTGAATTTGGTAAAGTAATGTGTCATTCAATTGTTTTCATACATTTATAAAATATATATATATATATAGAAGGAAAAAGACAACAAAAAAATGAAACAACTTAATACAGAAAATAGACAACTGGGCTTTGCCTCCCAGCATTAAAACGTTTGATTGAATTGTTCTGTAGATAGTATAGTAACTTTAGAGTTCAGTTGAAAAAAAAGATAGTTAGTTCGATGGTTATTATATAACTAGTCATATACCATGATTTATTTAAAAGTGTTGGTAACGTCAGCATTACAGTAGCCACAGCCTTTGTATGTGAAATCTGTATTGTGAATAAAATATGGATTCAAATGGTTTGTTCCCCTGTTTCATTCTGGATCCACAGCATGTTACACATTTTTCTTCACATAGCGCAGCTCTACTGTTGTAATCCTCCAAGTGTGTGATAAAGTGTTGTCACGGCAGGAAAAATAGGGCAGAGTGAACAATATTTGGAAATACACCTGCTGCCACTGCAGCTGTGCACCTCTGTGAGCCTATCACCATCACCATGTGCATGTGTGTACACGCATTGATTTTACTTTTCTAGGACCAGTGATCCTCCTGGGGACTCTGACCTTAATAAGGCAGAATCTCATTTTTAAAGGTTTAGTATGGCTGAAGAAGAAAGGTTGCATACCATCAGCTTCAAATTCTTATTACTGTTTGTGAAATAGAAAAGTATTTGTTTGTCTGCCACATGTCTCCATTTAAGAAGTCATCTAAGGATGACAGTATGAAATGTAAACAGTAAAAGTATAAAAAAGTGTAAAGTATAAAAGAAGTTAACTTCTTTGAATAAGGAAGGTATTAGCTTATTAGTATGCTAGACAAACTCTTTTAAACAATTTTTTTATCCTGTGTTCTCAAGAAACAGCTTTACTCATAAACTAAGTTTTTATAAGAAAGCACCCTTTGCTCAAGCTTTCGATTTAGAGGGGATTTTCAACAGAAATTGCAGTCGTGTGACATAATATCAGTGTGAAATCCGCAAGAACAATTTAGAATAATCACACGTTTTTGTACTGGTTTTCTTCTTCTTTGTTTACAAATAATTGTGAAATATTATTAACCTCTGTTAAAATGATTAAATTGCCTACAGGTGTACATTTATTTAGGTTCAGCTAGAGTGAAGCTTCCGGTAACCGATGTCTGTTTCTTCCGTCTTCACTTCTACTTCCGCCGTGATGACGTCACTAGCCACCTGTGGGTGGTGCAGGTTCTGGGATTAGCCGTAGCCGCAGGTAATAGTCGAACTCTCGCAGTCTCGGCGACTGAACTCCCTAACTTTTCCCCAAAAAGAGCTAAAAGTTAGTGAACCGTACCAGGTTATGTTTTTGCCTCTCATGTTTGTCAGGTGTGTGTTTGTGGTTAAGTTGAAGTTAAGTCACCTGATAGAAAAAAAAGACCGGCAGTGAACACGACAGGTTTTTGTTTTCTCCGTTTGAAACGCTGGCACTGGAGTTTTCTACGCAAGACTTCCGTGGTTTTGAAACTGAACGTAAAAATAGTGTGGAATAAAAAGACGACATTTTTTCCTCTTATGCGGTAAGTCAGTGATTGTTTATGTGAAATACAAATACCAAATGGGATTTGTTTTCAGGAATGTTTTTGCTAAACAAACTAAAGGACTGAGGGGTCAAATTATTATCAGGGCAGCAAATCAGTCCAGCTGATCTAGTTTATTTACATGCCGAGGATTCAGAGTAAGGTCGCTGTCCTCTGGACTTCATTTAAACATCATTTAAAGTTGCAGATGTCTGTTTTTACGTGCAGCTATCGCACGTTGCAAGGTTGCGTTGCAACTTAAGCTGATGTTTGCTAAACAGGTTATTTAAAAAATGAAGCTCAGCTGTCTGCACTTCTGCTAAACAGGTTTTTAATGTCGTTCAAGGCTAAGGATACAATATAAATAAAAATACATTGGTATTGTGAATAATAAGACAAACCACAGTAACATCAATGTATATATGGCACTGTCTAACTCCACCCTCTCCAGTTTATTTATGGTCTAACACAACTGGCATGGCTTGTCACTGCTATAAAAATACATTTTACCTTTTTAAATCCTAAACCCACACCAGTTAATCTAGAGATGTCGGCTTTTTTCCAGAATTTTTTTTTATTTGCCTTAAAGATCAGGTTCGTTAAGCTCCTTCAAATAAAGGATTGATTCAAATAAGTATTATTACAAACATTTTGACAGGAACAAGTTTATGCACAACATCGGCGAATACATCAAATTAAAATGTGATTAAAACTATTACAAGAAACACCTGATAGTCATTTGAATACTTAAACATTACTCTGACCTTATTTATTAGTGTTGGGTTTTTTTAAAGCCTCAGGTTTTTTAATAAACACATCCTTATGTTGTTTTACAAGCTGTTTTTTATTAAGTTATGACAGTAGTCTCCGTATACGCAATAAGGGTAAATTATTATTGGCCCATCCTCTTGATAAACGAATGTACTGTCATAGTTACTCATTTGCTTACGAAAGACCATGGGACTTTTTCCTTTCCTTCATTTTTCATTTATTTACAACTTATTTACAACTACAGAAAGGGAACAACAGGCCGAAAGAAGAACTGCAGCTGAAACAAACATTGTGAACAAAAATGTGCCTCTTTAATATAGACTTGAACAACGTAGTACTTCTGGTCATGTGTTAATAGCTTTGTCTTGTCACTATGGCCTACAGGAGTCATAGCTCTGTACATTAATAACAAATGGTCTCTGCTCTTCACCCAGTCTTTATAAATCCTCTATATTTCGTCTTTCTTTTACCCAATGAGATAAACTCCTTAAACACCTTTTCTATAACATGGCTGTAGGCAAAAGCAAAAGGAAATATAAATGATTACACTGGCTGCAACCAAGTATGTCTAAACTAATTTGCTGCGTTTTCACAATATAAAACATCACTTTTTGACTATAGTTGCTGAAATACTCACCTGTTTGAGTCCATAGATAAAATCAGAGATTTTAGTTTTTCAGTATATCACAGTTGCTTGTTTATTGGTGTCTCCTTCAGTGTGATTTGATTTGATTTCAACTTCACTGGTGTGACATTAAACTACTTGTTTTATTCATGGACTTTGGAAGATAGTTCAAACAATTAAACTCTTGTCTAAGGGTGATAAAAAAGATTAGATCATATATCTTATGATTTGCAATGGCATACTTTTTGTAAATCTGTTTTTGTTTTTGTCTCTTCTGGCACCCATGTTATAAGTAAGAGCCAGGCTGATACACAGAAATGACAGTTTGTTCAGCTGAGTCACTGTTGATAGTGTTTCAGTTTATCGTTCAGTCACTGACATGCGCCTGAATAAACTTTCCAAATGTGTCAGTTTTCTCTTGCTTCAAGGCTGCACTTGGTTAAATATTAGTGTGATTGTTTTACATGCTGTATTTATTGACAACATGTAATTCGAATAGAATTGTATTCATGTTTTGTATGAGTTTATACTAAAGTGAAAGAATGAAATGTTGTGTTGTATTCATGACAGTAGAGAAACCAAATGTCTTTTATGTTTTAATTATAGACAGAGGTGACCACATGACGCCTGGTCAAGAACAATTTAGCCACATTTACTCCAAAGGTTTAGCTCTTGTTGCTTTGCTTCATTAATATGACTTGACCTAAGGCTGAATGTCTCTCCTACACCAGGTCCCAGGCCTTTTGAGCCATGCCTGGCCACAGCACAGGAGCTCCACAGGCGTCCCGCCACCACAAACACCACAGCTCCAGCTCCAAGCCGGAAAGATACAAACACAATCGGACTATATCCAGGGACAGCCAGGAGTCCTATAAGGACACTCATGGAGAGCATCCACACGAGCACCACGCTGTACACACCCGGTATTCAGAGAATAAGCACAGCCGTAGCCGAGGCCACCCACGAAACGGCACGCCACGCGGCTCAGAGACTATAGGATTTATTCCTGGTTCTGCAGACAACACACCTACTACCAGACATGCCTGTGGCTCCTGTGTCTCTGTGGGCTGGAGCAGCTGCAAGGCTCTTATCTGCTGTGTGCTCACCTGTGGCGTTTATGGCAGCAAAGAGCCCTGTGTGCCGGTCAACGAGAGCTCCACAGACCATCCTCCGAAATCGAGTAGTGAACCTATCCCCTCTAATGGCATGGCAGTGACCAACCCAACCTGTGGCGTTCCTTTGGAGTCCACCAAGTCTACCAAAACATCAAAGCTGCCTGCAAGCGACAGCTTCAGATACCATGACGTGCGCATCGCTGGTCAGACGGTGACGTACCCCGTCACTAACTCCAAACGGAACCGCACACCCGGCAGGGGGGAAAGCCTGCGGCCCATCAGCAACACCAGCCTGCTGTCCATCGAGGATTATGATTTAGACGACCTGAGTGACACGGGCACCGACATTGACTCTCTCATCACTAAGAAGCTACTGGAGCTCTACGCCCTGCACCAGATTGACCAGCTGGCAAAGTGCACATCTGATTCCTCTTTCTCTCGCAAGACCAATGAAATTAGCGAGCTGATCTACACTATTGCCCAGGATTACAACCTGGAGGAGCAGGAGGCCGAGTGCAAGCTGGTGCATGGAGTCATCCGCATCAGCACACGAAAGGGAAAAAGAAACAAGAGCCATCAGTCCACAGGCCAGCGGCCCAACGGGAGGAGTGACGGGACTCTACCGGACAGTGGCAACGAGACCATGACCAACACCTTTAGCAGTGACTGTAAGAAAATCCAGCTTTTCCACTACAGATAAAAAAACAACATCTGGAGTTAAAAGAATCCCTCTAAGCATGTGCTGTGTAGTAGTTCTGGGACCCCGAACACAACCCAACATTAAATCGCTTATTAGCAGTAGGTATAGGTTAGTAACATTTGACATCCAAAAGTATATAAACAGCAGAGTTTAGGTTTACACTGATTTAGTTTTGTTCACTAACTGTAGACGACATGAAGCAGTTTATATATAGCTCTGCTGTTGAAGGTCCATGAGTTCTTCTATTCATGGATACAGGCTAACTGTATGAAGCTATCTTGTGAGGGTGGATTTCCAGTGTGTACGATGCCGCTTGATGATGTGCTCAAATATCATTACAAGTGCTGTGCAACATGAACTGGCCTTACAGATGTACTTCGAGTTTAGTACTAGTGATAAACTAGACTTCAGAATATCTTTAAAAGAATGTGTGCAGTATTTTATATTTGGAGGCATTCCAACAAATGCCCAGCTGCCCCAGTAATGGCTTCACTCAGTTTAGGTACTTTTTTAGGTTGCCACATGTCCATGAGGCTTCTTTGCTGGCATCCAAATACAACATGCCATACCACCGTTCGCTTAACCTGTCCTCCCATAGTGACTCAGAGTGTGTTGGAACGTGGCTGTAGCTCCTTTGTCTGGCCTGTAGTTTTAAACCCTGATATGCCAAGCATTTTAAAATTACAATTGGTTAATCTGAGGCAAGCTGAGACAGGTGCCTGTTTTCTCCATGAACATATTGCACAATAGTTGTGATGAGTGAATGAAATCAAAATGTATATGGTGCATTAATGTGTCTCACATCTTCTGGTCTGACTGTTTTTTTTTTGTTTGTTTTTTTTTTCTCTACACCTGGTTCCTGCTACAGTTCCTGAGGTGAAAGTGTCGGAGCAGACGCCTTCTGATGAGATAGCGAGGAACATGAGACATTACAGCGGGAAAAGTGAGTAAATGTGGGACTACGTCTACATCTACGATACAGACCGGAGTTTTATGTGCGTGTGTGTTGTCATGTCCTTGAAATGAGGAACTAGAATGATTCAGCATTAGCGTTGATTAGTGGTTTTACATATTGCATCTGGTAATCTTTAACTATCGCCATCGTTCTGATAGATTTAAAGTCTCTATCTGCCCTAATGATTAAGGGACAGTTACTGTCCTGCTGTGTGTGGATCTGTTTGCGGGGCTCAGTCTATTGTAGCTGCTGCTGCAGCTGCAGGCGTTTTCTCACCTCTTCTCTGCTTTCCAGCAGCAT